CTATAAAAACCTCTTTCGATCATGTAATGCAAGTGTTGGAGAATTACTCCTGTTATTGTAAGGAGTGGTAGTTGGTGTGTTCTTATTGTGTTTTTTTTTTTTTTTTGGGGGTTACAAAAATATTTCGTTTATTTTTTTAATAATTAGATTTGAAATATTTTAAATTAGTATTTATAGTATCTTTTTGAGTTCCATATGTAAATCCATATCTTTTTTCTTTCAAATTTTACTTTTTTTTCATTAAAAAAATAATTTTCATTAGAAAAAATAGAAAGGAATGTTTATAAGGCTGCCAAGTAGAAAAGATAATCTCAACTTTGAATGAGAGACCAAGTTTGAGAGTTTAGAAACATTGAAAACTATACTACATTTGTATTTTTTTTTTTTTTTTTTTTTCATTCCCAAATTTCTCCTTAAATTTCACAGTTTAATGGCCCAAATATTGCAGCTAATTTAACCATCTTCATCATCCAACCAACAAACAGATTAAATAAATAAATATAGATAGATATAGAGAGAGAGAGAGAGAGAGAGAGAGAGAGAGAGCGCCATGCCCTTGCTTCAAAACTTTATGTTTTATTTTTTATTTTATTTAGTTATTATTATTTGTATTCATTTCTTTCTTTCTTTCTTTTAATAGTATTATTTGGGGCAAATTACAAACACCCTTTCGAGATTTGGTGAAAATACAGATTCTCCCTGAGCTTTGAGAAATTACATCCCGCCCGCTGAGATTTATATTTTCATAACAAATTGCCCTCTGGGGTTTTTATTTTCATACAGATTCCCCCCCTAATTTTCCCTAATTTGTTATGAAAATTTAACCTTCAGGGGGCAATTTGTAATTTCTCAAACCTCATGGGAGAATCTGTATTTTCACCAAACCTCGAGGGGTGTTTGTAATTTGTCCTATTATTTGTTTGAATTTTTAAACTTGTATTTGTTTTCAAAATAAATGGGTGTGTCTGTTCCCAACAGACATCAAGGAGTCTATTTAAAAGATGACTCTTACTCAGGAGAAAAAAAAAAACGCATTCTGATTACAAGCTCTTTCTTTTTGGCTATATCTTCCATATTTCTGGGCAACTGAAACAGACTTGGCAAATTCTTCTTGTGCAACTGTGCATTGTGTCAGATTCCTATGAATTCTTGGATTGTATCTTGGACTCATTTGTGATCATTAGAACCTATACGGATGGAACGCATAACGACTTTTGGACAGCGTCTTTGACGTGCCTCTCCGAATCACACAGGCTATTTTCTTTATCTTCTTCTTATTCTGTATATATGTATATATAGTTTATATTGAATTGTAAAAACTTATTTTTTCAGAAACTGTTTTACTTTCAATTTTATTCTATAAAATTGATTTAAAATAATTATTATTCAATTCTCACAACAATTACATAGACTGAATTTCTAGAAGAATGACAAGATCAATCCGTAAAGAAGAAGCTAATAGAGATTTTTTAACACCACCCACCACATCTTATTATACAGCTAAAAGACCAAGAAAAACAGTTAGTCATTTATTTTCTATAAGAGAAGTAATCAGAGAGCAATTTGGGTACTCACCATACTAATATTTATGTTGTTTGGTACCCCAAATAAAATAAATAAAAAACATATTAGTTGAAACCAATATTATTTTTGTATGCAATCAAGGCACCAGCTTTGGCTAACTTTGCCATATTAAATGTAATAAAGGTATGCAATTGCCAAAACAGGGTGTCTAATAACCATATTTATATTGATATAACAATAATGGTATGTCTTATAAATAATAAATAAATAAAGCACACAGAAAAATTAATATGTGTTCCAGATTAAGATTAATTTCAAGTGTGTTTTTCGACATACTTAGAATGAATGGGTCACACATTGATTATACTATATATACTTTTGTGATTTTTTATATGTGCTAACAATAATGTTTTATATAAATGTTTGGGTATGTTCTATTTTTCACTCTTGAACTTTTACTCAAATTTTACTTTAATCTCTCATCTTTTAATTGTAACAATTAAACTTCTAGGCCCATAACCTTGTGGCCTAGTGACATGGAGACAACACTTGAACTATTTGCTAGGAAGAGGTTGAGAGTTAAACTTCCTACGTGAGTTAATCTAATAATTAACAATTAATTTTCGATTTAAACCCATGTTTGAATGCGATTATTCAAATTTGAGTAAAACTTAAAACATGAGGGCCAAAGTAGAATTTCAAGGTGAGTTGGCACGTAGTTAAAAGTCATATTTTTTTCGAATTTTTTGGTCTTTAGTATTTTTTTTCTTCAAAATTATGTCAATTTTTGTACTTCTTAAATTTGTCTTGTGTAGATAAATCTAAAAAGTTTTTTTAAAAAAAAAAAATTAATCTTTCTAAAGTTTTTTAAAAAATTTTAATTTTCCAACCCATCTAGTTGAGTAGTACCCAAAAGCATAAAGTTTTTTTAAAATAAAAAATCAAAAAAGGTCAACAAAAAAGTCACTAAAAAAAGCAATCCAAAACACACGCACAGTGAAGTGAAAAGTGCAATTTCTCATTTGAATTTTTTTTGTTTGTTTGTTTTTCTCTCCTTTAATGTTCTGAAAATGTGCTCACAAGCCTTACACGAGCAATTTCTATCTAATTTTTAAATACGAGTTAAAATTCAAAAACGCAATTGTTATAATTAAAAGAAACTAAAGAGACATTGAGATGAAAGTTTGAGAGTGAAAAGACTAATTTATCCTAAAAGGATTTCTTTAGGGTCGGTTTTGATGGTGATTGGAGGCTTAGTGCATGTAAGTTATTAATAGTAGCAACATAGAAAGATCAGCATTGAGTAACTGAGAGTTTTACAAGTCTCATTTGTATTTAAACTGATACCCTTTCTGGTAGTATAAGAGTGCTATGGAAAGTGTCCTAGAAGCTAGTTAAGACAGCTTAAAATCATAATTGAACAAGACACGTCTCTTGAATTTAGATGGACGTGCTTATAAATAAGGACATTGTTGGTCATATTGAATAGTCTATTGGCATGTAACATTCCAGGGGCAAGTTCGGGTATTTGCTAACCCTTATTGAGAAGGGCCTCACCAAAAAAATAAATAAATAAAGTATTGCTTATAACACTCGTGTAATCTTTTGGACCCTCTATTTTTTTGGACATTCACAAACTAATCTCAACTTCTCTGAAAAAATATTTGAACAGCTCACTTAATATTAAAATTAATCTCCAATCCTCTCAAATTCTAACCCTACCTCCACCTTAGCTACTAGCCACCACTACCACCACCAACATCACCAACTTTGGCCTCCTTCCCCTCCCCTTTGATGCCACCCCTTCATCTCCTTCCACCAGACAAAGAGAAATAGTGAAGGTGGGGAAGCTACGAGAGTGAAGTTGCAATGAAGAGTGCGATTGGGTGTCCAGGAGGAGCAAGGATTCTCTCCTTGTGTTCTCTATTTAACTCCCTCCTTACAACGGTTAAGATTCATCTAAAGATAATCTAACGGCTCAAATCACTTTATTAAAAAAAATTAAAAGTTAAAAAGTAACTTTTTTGAAATGATTTGAACCATTGAGTTTTCTTAAGATGAATCGTGACCATTGCAAGGAGGGAATGAAGTAGAGAAAGAAATGAGAGGATCTTTGCTCGTGCAGGAGAGATGTAGCCTCCGTTTGGGAAGTGGGTTGGCTTTTTGGCTTTTTAACTTTTTTGGTTATTTTAGCCTGGGCTTAAAAGCTTGGTTTGGGAAGGGCTTTTTGGCTTTTTGACTTTTTTGAGTTTTTTTGTGAGAGAAGAATGTAATGATTATGGGTTGGATGTGATGTTTTGTTTGTTATGGCTAAAATAGCTTATTTTGTTTTTTGTGGCTAAAATAGCCAAAAAAGCCTCCAACCCACCTTCCCAAACGGTGCCGTAGAGGTCGGAAAAAGCAAGTGAGGATAAGAGGAGTTTAAAATGATATTTATACTTTTATATACATAAAAAAATTTAACTTTTAATTTTTATTAAAGATGACCAAAAAAATCCCTCCCAAAGGCAGCCTAACAATCCAAAAAAAAAAAAAAAAAAAAGGCAGCCTAACACAATTAAAGTGAATTGGATTGACTAGTCAACTATTATGGATCAATGGATGTTTCTTCTAAGTGCACAAAGAATAAAATTAACTTCCCCAATACGTATCATATGGCACGAGGAGGGTAAAATCCCTTGAAGCAAATTATAATAAATCATTAATTTCTACTTGTCTGGTATGTTTGGTGTAGGTACACTTGACAGATTCAGTTTAACTTCTTAATCTATTTTTTTTTTCCTTTTTGTAACTAATTTAACCAAAAACTCAAACCAACCCGGCCCAACCCAACCCAACCCAACCTAATTGAATTGCAAACGACACCTTAATTTTTTGTGGTGCTATGAAGTTTTTACTTTAGAGTTATAGAAAGTTTGTTAATAAAAACATATGTTTATAATTGAGTGACTTGCCGTATTTTCAATAGTTGATTTAGAAATGTCTATTTTTAAAATATACGACTAAACATATTTTCAAATTTAAAAAAAAAAAAAATCTTTTCCAAACTAACCAGACCTCTATTCATATTTTGACTTTAAATTTTTAACAACAAATGGAATAAATTACATTTTAACCCAATAATTTTATATTTAATTACATTTTGATCTCATCATTATTTACACTGTCTTTAAACACAGGCATATACTAATTATCATACAATTCAATTTATTTTTACATAATTTTCACATATTAAAATTCAATAGACTTTATACAAATACTATACAAATACTACCCTCAACCAGTGTTCATTTGCGCTTTAGATAGAATTCCTCTGAAAATGAACCAAGGTTGTTGGGTATTGGTCATTCAAATCCACTCATCTATCACAAACTATTTTGGTTTTGGTTTTCTTGTTCTCTTTCATTTTAGAATAAGATTTCAAATAGGTAAGCAAAAAGATAAATACTCCAAATTATATCCACATTTTAATTCCGGTGGCATCCCTCTACCTCTGATACCAATAAGATGTGCTTACACAGAGGTAGACGGAGCACGTCTGTCAACGACTTATGCTACATGGTCCTTACCGCTAACCGCTTGATGGACATTAGAGCTACGCGACTTGGGTGACGTCCCACTCAGCCTCACACTATGCTACCTCTCACTGGCACAAATCCAGGAATATCATAACAAATAGTTTTATTTTATTTAGAATTAATTATATCATACATAGTCCATAAATTACACTGCTGGAGGAGGAAAAGGCCGATTGGCCCTTGCATCAAGACAAATTTGTTCTTGAATTAATTGCTGGATTAAATTTATTTGATTATTACACTCAGCTAATTGTTCTTGAGCCCAAGTATCATTACGAGTAACTGCAATATAATATTCAATATTACGTTTTCGATTTAACCAGATATCTAAAATATCATTTAATAAAACAAGTTGATAAATAGACATTCATAGCAAAGAAATACTTACAACCAAAACAGCAAGCTTTTATTATATTACTGCAAACTTTTACAAAAGGGAAAACAACCTGAAACTTGAAAGAGAGAGAGAGAGAGAGAGAGAGAGAATATTAAACTTAGAAAATAAAATTCCGTGGTGCCTTCCACAGACCAGAGGCTACCAATTTATATTACAAAAAGTAAAGATAATGAAGATAGGTGGCGTGTGCTGAATGGTTGTGCAGTCGAGCATCCTTATCTTCTTATCTGCAATTGTCGACAAAGAGGGACAGCTGGAAAGAACAACAGATAATGGATATCTATAAAAGTTGATGCGTCTGTACCTTTCTCACCGAAAGTTGTTTGTCTTCTTGTGGAGCTGGAAAGTTATTGACAGGCAAAGGCTCAAATCATGGTGCTTTACTTTTTCCTTTGCTTTTGTCATGGAGTAGTTTGTCGGCAATCATTTCTGTAACCGAATCCCAAATATCTCCATAATTGGGTCTAGTCGGGTCGTCTTCCGGATTTTGAGATTCTCCCGCCAAGACAGTAAAAGTATTATCCTCATCGTATGGATCAGCTGTAGCGCAGTCGTCTTCACTTTGAGTACTGGATGTAGATTTCATGCTGGAGTCTGTACTGAACATGGATTGAAGGAATTGTTGCTTCATATAATCCATGCTTTTGATAACAAGCTCTGTTTCTGATAAGTCTGGATATTTTTCCCTAAGTTCTTGCTGGATTTGAACAAAAGGATTTACTGGAGGAGCTGGGATGGATTTAGGAGATGCATCCCAGCAGGCTTGTGTATGTTCCTTGATTTTCTGTAATAATTCCTGCTTGGGTTTTGGATCATCCATTTTGACCCACCATTTATACAGGAAAACACATTGTAGTCTGGGGACCTTATTCTGGAAGTCACATTTAAAATCCCATTTCCAAATCCATGGAATACTGAAACGAATTACAAAATGAACCATGCATTTGGTCATGGAAATTTCTTTATTTACTGGAAGGTGATTGAAAGCTACTTGCCATTCATTGAATGCAGTTCTTATATGTTCTGGAAAGGCATCAAGTTGAATACCAAATTTATCCCACCAAATGAGAAACCAATTGGGGAGATCATTTTTGAGAACATCAGGAAGAACACGAAAGAACCAAGAATGGCTTCGTGGGGGATTCATATAATAAAATGCTTGAGAAAAAGCATCAATATAATCCCAATAGCTGTATCTGGATTCCTTGGAACGGATGTCAAGAGTTCTGGTAACATGGGGATGCATACCCCAGGCCTGAATAGGCACAATAGTCTGGATGGTAGCCTTACTATAATTAATAGGACTAGCAGTCCTATTAGGATCGGCTAAATGATGCTGGAATTGTACCGAAGCAAGTTCAGTAAGAATTTGCTCGTACACATATCTGTATTGATCAAAACGCGGAGGTGCGTTCTGAGTGGCGAGATAATGGCGTTTTATCTCCCACGGATCAACCATCCATTGAACATCAGAAGAATCAATATAAAGGACAGTTTCCTCTCGGATGGTATTCTGGATATAAGCAGTTTCTGGAGTAAGAAGGACATCTTTAGCAGACTTGCTAGAAGATTCCCCTGGATTACTGGAATGGCCAAATAATGGCGGAAATTCTGTATTACAGGGGTTAGAACCCCGTCCACGGCCCCGGCGAGCGGAGCCTCGGCTTCTACCCTGCATGGGATTTCTGCAAATATTCACGGGTTAGAAAATCGGGAAGGGAATTAGTTTCACCTTTAATATATTCAATATCAAAATCAAAGACAGATAGAGTTGCTTGCCAAGTAGCAAAAATTTGTTTCTGGGCTAAATTTTCAACATCTTTTTGAAAGATTTGTTTAGCAGCAGAACAATCAACACGAATTAAAAAATGTTGATTTAATAAATCATCCCGGAATTTTAAAACACATTTAACGATAGCTAAACATTCTTTTTTAATTGTGGGATATCGTTTAGCAGCATCATGCCAAATACCTGAATGAAAACGTAAAAGTTCTTCTTTATTTGTATTTGGATTAAATTGTTTTAATATGCCACCAAAACCTAAATCTGAGGCATCAGTTTTAACAATCTTTTTCCAATCTGGATGAGGTAAACATAAACAAGGTAGAGTTTGGACTCTAGCTTTTATTTTCTTAACAGCAGCAGTATGTTCTGGACTCCAAACAGGAGGGTTTTTACGAAGGCGATTGTATAAGACAGCTGCATCAGTAGCAAGATTAGGGTAATAATCATGTATATAATTTAAACTACCCAAGAATCGTTGTAATTGTGTTTTATCTTTTATTTCATCTGGAAATTTAGCAGCAAATTCCATGCTTCGATTAATAGGAATAATAGTTCCATTATGAATATTATGTCCTAAAAATCTAACTGTTGTCTGAAAGAGTTGCATCTTGGGAGCAGATACAACAAGACCATTTCTGGAAATAACATGCTTAAAAATATTAAGATGTTTCATATGTTGATCAATAGAAGATGAAAAAATAAGAACATCGTCTATATAACATATGGCAAATTCTGTATAAGGATTAAAAATGTCATTCATAATATGCTGGAATTCAGATGGTGCATTCTTCAAACCGAATGGCATGACATTCCATTCGTAATGCCCAAAGGGTACTGTAAAAGCAGTTTTATAGCGATCATTTTCGACAATTTGAACCTGCCAATATCCTGACTTCATATCAAATTTAGAAAATATTACTGCATCCTGTAATCTATCTAACAAATCTTTTTTGTTAGGTACTGGATATCTAATCCACTGTAAAACCTCATTCAAAGGTTTGTAATTAATTACTAACCGAGGAACACCACGTTCAATTTCTGCATTTTTATTGACATAGAAAGCAGTACAACTCCATGGAGATCTACTGGATCTAATCAATTTTTTCTGGAGAAGAGTATTAATTTCATTTTTACAAAGTTCCATATACTCTTTTTTCATTTGACTGGGACGAGCCTTTGTAGGAATTTTCTTTTCGTTAAAAGTAGGCTCATAAGGCAACGAAACCATGTGTTTCTTGCGATCCCAAAAAGCATTAGGAACATCACTGCAAATTTCTTCCTGGAATTCTTTTTCAAGTAATTTAATTTTTTGCTGAAAAGAAGATTGCTGCAACCTTTGTTCTGTAGTTAGAAAACTGACTTCTTTTTGAAGAAAATTGATTTGGTTCTGTTTTGAAGAAACTAAATCAGTAATTTGATCTAATTCTTTTGTACAAGGAGAAGTGATAAATTCAAAAACAATGTTTTGATTATCAAGAGTTGTGTGAATACCTATTGTGTCGATTTTGGTAATAGGCATTAGAAGATTCAGGAAAGGAGTACCAAGAATTATGTTTTGTGCCATATTTTTAATTAAAACAAAAGAGGTTTTTAAACATAATCCTTGATAACAAATTAAAACTTCTGGAAGTTTGTAATCAATATACAAACTATTACCACTGGCACTAGTGAGTGACTGGCTAGTTTTCTGGAAATACTTGGTAGGGACCAAGCCTTCTTGTATGCAATTTATATCTGCACCACTATCAACCAAAGCAATTGCATCGCGAATAATATAATCTGGTTGAATCATGAAAGTGATACGAATATACCATTTCTGAAATGTTATTCTATTTAATAACATCAAATAATCTGGATCTTGTTCAGATGCTTCATTTTTTGTTTTATCCTGTAATTGGCTATTGATTTTCTTTATCTGGGACTGAACCATGAGATTTGAATTCTGCAAATGCTTTATTTCTACTTTTAATGTCTTAATTTCCATTTTTAGCTCTTGAACTGTAATGGGTTTTTCTGTACTGGAAGTTATCAATTGACTACGATTAAAAACTTCTTTCATGCTATAATGCTTAGGAGGAAGCACTTCTTCTTTCTTTTGATTATAGCACATTTCAAGAAATTTTAATTTGGTGGCTGGATCTTTGATGCTATCAGCAATTTCTAAAAGATTTTGTTCTGAATCAGTGAGGACATTAATACTGGGACCAATATTAAATCCATTCATTTCGACTATAGCTTTCCAATAATTGGCTTCATCAGAAACTTGATTTACTGAAGATTTACAAGGGCAGAGTTCATTTTCTGGATTATCATCTGATTCTAGATCTGAACTGTCTGTATAAATGGCTGCTAATTCATTATCAGAAGGTCCTGATGATGAACTGGAGTCAGACATTAACTGTAATATTTTTTGCTGTACGTCGTCATCTAATGCTAATTCATTAAGTTTAGATTGAATCTTAACACGGCATTTATTAGCATAATGACCTATTTGTCCACATTTGTAACATTTAATACTGGATTTGTTCTTCTGAAAAGACTTTCCTTTATTCTTAGATTTATATCTAGGTTTAGAAGTCTGAGGTTGTGACTGGATCTTAGTTTTGGAGTACTTTCTATGTTTCTTATAAGGTTTGGAATAATTTTTGTGTTTTCGTTGCTTATGGGGATATTGGATTGGAGGATCATAAGCAAATTGTTCACAAAATTCTCCTAATTCTTTTCTTCCTGTAATATGCTGATGTTTAAGTTGTTGCTGGAGTTTAAGGTCATTACATAGTGCAAGACCTTCAGAAGTGACCAGACTAATAAGTTGGCCATAAGTATACTGGTAATAGGGGATATCAATAGAGTGATGCCGATCTCGTAATTTCTTACGGACTCGTTCAGCAAAGAGAGTTGGAAGTCCATTGAGGAATTTAGTTTTCCAATGGTCAGCACTACCATCAGTTCTTTGCATAACTTTCATCAGGAAAACATCTTTATACCATCGAAAATGGGATAAAGATGGGCATCTGAGTTTCATTAATAGTTCCCTATTACGATCAGATATACTGGAAGCTTGACCAATAAAATGGGTGATAATTGTATTGATAAGAGTATAAACAGCATCCTGTTCTTCTCTTTCAATTTGTGCAGTGGCAGGATCAGTACTGGAACTAGTAGGGTCAATTTCAATGACAGTACTTGTGAATGAAAGGATTTCATTACATTGATTTGGAGTGAGAATATTATCCCACCATCCTTTCAGAACACCGGTAAAACCACTAACAATGTAGCGGGCAACTTGATGATCAGTATTGTTGTTTTGTTTGCAAACAGTGGCAAACATGAGCATCTGGTGAAGAAGTTCATAGATCTGGTATTCAGAAAGACCATTAATATTCCATTCATAAATGGTATTACTATGGTAAGAGTGTTGAGTCTGGAAAAAATCTTCTTCATAAAGAAGATCCATGGGACTAGGCCGAGGATAATAATATCGATGAGGAGCAGATAAGGATAATTTGGCGGTACTGGGTCCATAAGTAACTCGGTTTATGGAAGAGGGTTGCTCCGAGGGTTGGAAGGTTTGCTGGATTTCAAGAATCTCTTGAGGAGATAGAGTATCAAAAGACTCTAAATGAGGAGGGTCACTGGAGAGTACATTAACCTGAGATGTACTAATCGGAGGTGGTTCACTGATATGCAAATTTTTAATGCGAGAAAGGAGAGTATCCATAAACTCATTTTCTTCTTTAGATTTTAATTTAAAATCTTTAAGGACTGAAGTAGGTTTAATTAAAACTGGTTCAATAGGAGCAGGAGGTTTGGGTTCTAATTTGCAGCTTTTCTTAACATGGTTTACCATTTCTTCAATTCGTGTAAGCTGCTTGCCTGCTGTTTGACAGAAAAGGTTTGTATAATTATTTTGTTTGAAAACAGGAATGATATCTTGGATATGAACTGGATCTTTGTATTGACTCCTATGGGGTATGTCTGTATAAGCTGCAATTGCCATAGGTCTGGTGTTTACTCTTGTAGGCTGAAGTTCTAAAGCTTGGAAGGAGGATGAATAGTAACAATCTCTCTACCATCAGTAGTAAACCATTTCTGCTGGATTCCTTCTAAAACATTTAGTTGAGAATCTGGAGGGAAAATATTCTGGACGTACCATAAAGGAAAAGGATATAAAACTTGAATTTCCTCAAGGTAAGAATAATACTGAATTTTATACTCCTGTAATTGTTTTTGGTTATGAACAGTAAAATACCATTTTCTAAATTCTGTATACTTTGCCTGTAATAGATTCTGATTAAGAATCTTACGGTTTTCACTTCCAGGTGTAAAATCCATCTAAAGTCTGAAATCCATGTCACTGGCTGTAGGGCTATACTGGCCTTTACTGGATGTTCTTGGATGAGGGTAAATATTTGGAGGTATTAGTGGATCATAAACTCCATGAGGGATCTGTTGGTTAGAATACTGGACTCCTCGAATTATAGGATCCTGATCAGATTCCTGAGGTTCATCAGAATTAGGTCGGGAGTGAGATCTAGAAGGTTGGCCTTGAAAAATTGCATCTGGAGGTTCAGAATAGGATTGTCTAGAGGATTCTGGATAATCAACTTTGTAAGATTGATGTGAAGGAGCAGTTCTAAAACTGGCATTAGACATACTTCTGGTTAACTAGATTGGAGGTCGCTGGAATTGAAGGTAAACATTACCTTGATGAGTCTGAATTATATCATCCAAATTGTGTCGAACAATTGGTCGAGTTGGAACAGCATTAGTAATCTTCCATCTTTCTGGAAAAGATATTTTTTCCCATTCAATGACTTTGGGTACTGCAACTTGGGTACTGTAAAGGTTAGTATCAATTAACACAGTTTGTCCATCAATACTTTTCTTCCTTACATAAGGATTCAAAGTAGATAATACCTTTAAATAAATTCTGGAAATAACAGAAAAAGGTGGAGATCCAGGAAGATACTCATAACCATGAGTAAGAATTCTGAATTCTAGAACCTTGGATAAGTTTTGGTCATAAAGGGCAACACTAAAGTTAGGATATATATCAAAATATACTGGACCATGGGCTAAGCTGGTTTCCATAGCACCCATGAGAGATGCTCTCCAATTAGTACACCTACCATCTCGTAGAGTACACTGCATACTGGTATTTTGACCTAAAGGTGTCAAAGGCTTCAAGGCAATCTGGACAAGTCCTATATGAATATATTTATATTCTTTGAAAAAAGGGATTAGATCCTGGACACTTAATAAATACATTAAAGTATCATTATTATTTACTGGAGCTGCATGTTCAAAGGTTTTAATAATCTTTTTACTAAAAAAATTCAAAGTACCAATCTTGTAGATGGCCTTTGGATCTACCTTCGGGATTGTCCATTTATCTAGGGATTCTTTGACTTCCTGGTATGCAACAAGCTCTCTAGCTTCTGAAGTAGAGGCTTCTGTTTCTGCTACTGTAGGGGCTACTGTATTCTCCTCTGTAGGAACAGTACCCATTTTGATGTGTGTGACTATATATGAATAATTAATAATGAATAAAATAAACTATTTTATCTGGTGTTTACTCCATTATGGATCAATGGATGTTTCTTCTAAGTGCACAAAGAATAAAATTAACTTCTCCAATACGTATCATATGGCACGAGGAGGGTAAAATCCCTTGAAGCAAATTATAATAAATCATTAATTTCTACTTGTGTGGTATGTTTGGTGTAGGTACACTAGACAGATTCGGTTTAACTTCTTAATCTATTTTTTTTTCCTTTTTGTAACTAATTTAACCAAAAACTCAAACCAACCCGGCCCAACCCGGCCCAACCCAACCCAACCTAATTGAATTGCAAACGACACCTTAATTTTTTGTGGTGCTATGAAGTTTTTACTTTAGAGTTATAGAAAGTTTGTTAATAAAAACATATGTTTATAATTGAGTGACTTGCCGTATTTTCAATAGTTGATTTAGAAATGTCTATTTTTAAAATATACGACTAAACATATTTTCAAATTTAAAAAAAAAAAAAATCTTTTCCAAACTAACCAGACCTCTATTCATATTTTGACTTTAAATTTTTAACAACAAATGGAATAAATTACATTTTAATAATTTTATATTTAATTACATTTTGATCTCATCATTATTTACACTGTCTTTAGACACAGGCATATACTAATTATCATACAATTCAATTTATTTTTACATAATTTTCACATATTAAAATTCAATAGACTTTATACAAATACTATACAAATACTACCCTCAACCAGTGTTCATTTGCGCTTTAGATAGAATTCCTCTGAAAATGAACCAAGGTTGTTGGGTATTGGTCATTCAAATCCACTCATCTATCACAAACTATTTTGGTTTTGGTTTTCTTGTTCTCTTTCATTTTAGAATAAGATTTCAAATAGGTAAGCAAAAAGATAAATACTCCAAATTATATCCACATTTTAATTCCGGTGGCATCCCTCTACCTCTAGCAGTATCTTGGTACCTCGTTAAATATCAGAAAAATAAGTAGAATACAACATACATAACAAACTACCCCAGGGGTGGGATGAGCTATTTCTTACAAACACAGTGGAACTTAAATAATAGGTATCTCCATAGAATTGAACCTTAAACACCCAACCTTTGTTCAGCAGAAAAAGGAGTACAACATACATAACAAAGTATCCCGGGGAGCTATTTCTTATAAACGCAGTGGAACTTAATAACAGTATCGCTAAGAAATTGAAGTCCAAACACCGAACCTTGCTTCAACAGAAAAACAAGTAGAGTACGACATACATAACAAACTACCCCGGGGAGTTATTTCTTACAAACACTGTGGAACTTGATATCACTATCTCTAAAAAAGTACAACATACATGACAAAGTAACCCACGGAGCTATTTCTTACGAACACAGTGGACCTTAATAACATTCTATAAAATATTTAACCCCAAACACCCAATCTTGGTTCAACATGAACAAAAATTACACAGGCAACCAGTGATGCTCATGCTGACTTTCATCCAGCATTGCCATGCCGCAATTTATCCATTACGCTTCTAAATTCCGCAAATATGTTGATGCTGACTTACACAGGCAATCGAAGAGGCTCATCCCGACTTTCATTTGCATTGTCATTCCTCAATTTATTCATTACACTTCTAAATTCTGCAACAATTTGGACAAAATGAACAAATTAAGTTTGTTCTCGGGTGTACTTGCTGTTATTTTACCAATATTGATCATTGTCCCAGCCATTGGGTAGTTCGCTTTGAGCATATGGGTCATCTCTAATCTCATCAAAGAAGCGATTTACAACAATTCAAAAAGCACAAACCCATATGCCCAACGCCAGCTACCCAATGCCTGGGACAATGATCAAATTGGCAAAATAACAGCAAGTACACCCGAGAACAAACTTAATTTGTTCACTATCACATGATCTCTGCCGTTGGTTCAGAGTACAAATTCAGCCAACAATGATGAAAAATAGATCACAATAGTGACAACGAATGCTACAGCCTTTGGATAATGTGTTTCAAATGGTTGATACGTTGTTTAGAGGATGCTACCCAACAATGTAATGAAAACCCAAAAAAATTTGTGGAATTCATCATAAGAATCAGCTGCCAGCTCCCTACAAACCATCACAAGAGAATGAAACGAGCATCAGAATACAAAATAAAAGGTTAAGTGCAATACAATTGAATTCACAGGGGTGGCACCCAATGGACACACAAAGAAAAGGGCAAACAAGGTAGTAGGTATGGTAAAGGGGTGGCAAATGCAATGCCAATTCATACACAGGAACCCAGTCAAATCTACTACCAGTTAGTGGTTTATGTTTACTTATTTTACATGCAGGTCATATTTGGGACTTGATGCTTAAAACGAGGTCTGTGTGCAGTCCTAACAGCATGGGGCAACAAATAGATTAAAAAGAAATAAATAAAAATAAATTAATTAATTAATTAACACTTGGGCAAATTAAGGCTTGAAGTTAAAAGAAGATACTTTACCAATTAGCACATGATGTTTTTTTGGGTGAATAAGCACATGATGTTAATCTAAACATACATGATATTTCTCCTCCTTCAGGTTAGTGGGTTTGCATTTGAGTGCTTTTTTTTCCTTGCATATGAGTTTATTTTATATCATGTAAATTTAAGCATATACACATTTATTTCACATATATAAATATACCATCCATATATTATTAAATATATAAACTTACATACATATCACGTATAAACATACTATATGGGACATAATCAACTACACTTATATAGAGTTTTTAGTCTTACATCCATTCATAACTTCTTAATGGATCTAAACTCCACAAACTACGATTTAAGTATTTCTTCCATACAAACTGCATATGAAAATTTCAAGTAGAACAACAAGAATAGATAGAGCTCTCATCTACAAAACCCTCCTATCAGAGTTGTATTATGTGAAGAAATGCGGACATAGGTATAAGATAGCTCTTAAATTCTTAGGCTCCGTTTGGTAAGCCTCTCAATTATAGTTTCACCCATTGATTTAAGTGTTGTGTTTATTTTGAACTTTCAAATCATAATTCTACACCTATTTCTCAAAACTCAATTCAAAACATAATTATTATTTTTCAAAACTAATAACTAAACACATAATTCAAATCAATATTTTAATTTTTTAAATATTTTAATTTTGTTAAGATTTTAAATATTTCAATATTTAAATATGTTACGATTTTTTTAATTTTTAAATTTTTTGAATATTTTTAATTTTTAAAATTTTTTAAATATTACAATTTTAATTTTTTTAATTTTAAAATATTTTATAAAAATAAATTCAAACTCTATTTTATAAAAATATTTTTAAATATTTTAATTTTTTTTGTTATATATTTAGTTACGATTTGAGTGTATAATTGTGAAAATAGTATGAAGTTTCGAATTACGTGTTTAGTTATAAGCATAGTTGTCAAATCGGGATTCGTATCGTGAATCGAAATGGTCTTGTACCGAATCGCGAATCGAATCGAATCGTGAATCGAAAAGATTTGGTCACTTTTTCTAAATAACTTAAAAACATATATCTACAAATTTAGATGTTAAATATATCTTATGAATATAAAATATTTAGACTTAAATCAATAAAAATGTTATTTTGAATAATAATCATATTTTGAAAAAAAATTATTTCTTTTGTAGTATTTTTAATTAAAAAATTGATTAATTTTATTTTCTGTTAATAATAAAAAAATTTAATTGAATTTTAAAAAGAGTTTGGTTATCAGTGTTGATCAAAATTTTCAATAATGTGAAAATAGTGTGTTTTGTTATGAGTTATAACAATTTAAATTAAGTTTTGAAAACTCTTTCCAAAACTCATAACCAAACAAATTTTCTCACTCATGTCAAATCAAACTTTCAAAACTCAATTCAACACTCTATTCAAAAATCATAACCAAACAAATATTCTACACTCAAATTATAATTTCAAAACACACAAACTCAAAATACAACTCATATTCTCAAATCATAGTTAGAAAGTCTTACCAAACGGAGCCTTAATCTTTGACGGGCTGAAAATTTAAAATATGGTTATATATTATGGCTATGAAAAGAGTATAAAATTCAACAGTCAATTTTTGAGAAAAGCAAATCAAACGAAAGGCCTACGAGAGTCTTAACACAATTTTACATACACACATTTCTACATATGCACATTCATGAAGGTACACTTACATTTCTTTTAGCTAAGTTGAGTTTTTTCTTTTAGTTTCCTCTTCTCTTTTCTTACCTTCTTTCCTTTTTATTTGTTTTCTTTGAATATTTATATAACTCACACAAATTATATTACTGGGTACACCCCCTTAAACTCAGATCCTGTGCCCCTTTTATAGTCTACCGCAAAATTGAACATATGCAAATCACATGCAAATTTATAAACTAAATTGACAATCTTACCTAGGGGTGTGCATAATACCGCCGAAACCGCCGAAACCGCTAAAACCGCACCGAACCGCACCGCCAAGGCAAATTCGTTATTATTTGTCAATCGAGTACACCCCCTTAAACTCAGATCCTGTGCCCCTTTTATAGTCTACCGCAAAATTGAACATATGCAAATCACATGCAAATTTATAAAACTGAATTGACAATCTTACCCATCCATCTCTATTCCTCTTCTAAATATACTGTTTGTTTTCTAAATATTTTTTGTATTTGATAGGGAGGAATGCATGCATATATCTACATATTCATACATATAACACAAATTGAATGCTTCCAAAAAATCGAGGTTACAACTTACATATACACACTGATTTATGTGTGCTTGCGTATGTCAAGAAATACACACACAAATATGTATCCACTGCAGATCGTGCATCATGGCCCTATCCAATTTGCTAGGAAGGTATAATAAATGGTAATGAATGTTTCATTTCATTTATTTATGCAATTGTTCTAAATGGATGTTTTTGGGATAATCAAGCTAAGGAAATTAAAATGTTTCCACCACCTAATCAATTATACCTCAAAATATATAGAGGTGTTACATGTTTGTATGACAATTGGTTGTTCACTACTATCTCAAAACATCCATTTAGAACAATTGCATAAATAAATGAAATGAAACATTCATTACCATTTATTATACCTTCCTAGCTTCAAACACAAAAATTACAAGATTTTATAAAGAGAAGAGAAGAACAAACTTGTTCTTTCCAAAGCTGAATGTGTACAAAGATCTTAAGCATCTAGCCCTTCCATTTAACATCTAGGCATACAAGCATCTATGTATAGCTTTAAACACAATCATCATGTTTTATATCACTATCACCTACATTTATAGGGAAGAGAGGTGAGCCAAAGCCCAACAAACAATGATATAGCAAAGCTATTTTAGGACAAGGATATCTCCTATTTGACTAATCATAAGTCTACAAAAATCTTAGAAGCTTAATTTGCATTTTGAGCATAACATATTCAATGCATTTCCATTGCCAAACATAGTGATAAGGCCCATCTGGAGAATGCGTATCATAACATATCAGAACATGACGATGTCGACTAAGATTTTGTTAGAACCACAAACTAGTGGTGGTAGATCCCATCATAACAAATTAGTATACTTTGCATCCCCTAATAGCCACTAGGACCATTGTTGTCAAATCGAGATACGAATTGTGCATCATTTTTTTATCTTTCTAAATCACATAGCATATTGTATGGTGTATCACAAGATTTTTTAACATCTTTAAATATAGACAGCGAGAAAAATAGTAATAGAAAATACAAATATTGTTAGTGAACAATACATTAAAATATATATAATTCTTAAAATTACAAAAGTAAGGTTTCTTAAATTAAAGCTATTATAAAGCATGGATATTTTGACAAACATGTCATACCTGTCCTGGGCATAGTACTTTTGCATACGCATCATCCCCCAGAAGTAACTAGTGCACTAGAGTGGTGTGGTAGCCGGTAGCCATGAGACGGTGGACCGGTGGTGACATGCTTGGTATGGCACTGCAGTGGTCATATATGGTAGTATGTCATTGCTATGGTGAAATGGAGGTGGAAATGTGGTGGAGGGGGTAATGTGTGGCAGAGGAGGAACAAATAATAGTGGTATTTAGTGCCATTCAAGGCATCGATAGTTAGAGAGACGAAAAAAAATGATTGAAAAAAAAAGAGGATAAATAGAAGGAAGGCCATACGTAGATGAGAAAATGTTTTAAATATTTATCCAAAAATGGTAAATTGCAAAAAAAAAAAAAAAAAAAGTTTGATCATTGTAATGATTTAAACCCTGCCTACTTAATTATTACAGCATAAACTCTAAATTTTTAAAATGAGTACAATTTAAACAATCCATCCATCGTCTGATAAGGATGTTAAACTATATGGCACTCGTAGCAATGTTTCATTGCCTTTTTTTGCACGACTCACACATCACTTATCCAAAATTACTCTTCATCCTTCTCTCATCTACCACCTTTCTCTTTCTTCTTTTTTTTTCTCTTCATTCTGTCAACTACACCACCACACTCAACGTCCATCTCCACCAAAGCACAACCAGCTCTGCTATTTCCTTTGGCAATCCACCTTTGCTACCCACAATTTGATCCACCATCAATCCAACTCTCTGGAGTTATGGAAATTGTTTTTCTCCAATAAAATTAATAATTACAATTAGAATCCAAGATTAGCTATGTAAAACGGACTGAGAGAGTTGATTGAACTCAACTTTGATGCTCGGGGTTCTCCATTTTCAATTTGCCCAAAATTCCAAGAGACCAGAGAGATGCAACCAAATTCAGTCCCACAGGGGGAGAGAGAGAGAGAGAGAGAGAGATGGAAGTAGATTCACAGATCTGAAAACAACCTTTCCCAAAACCAGCGAAAGGATGTACAAGTCTACGCGCGTCAGCCGAAATGTGCAAGCGTAAAATAAACAATGTAATTCGCTCTACTTGGTTTTGGTTTCCAGAATTTTTTTTTTTTCTATTGTTTTTTTTTTTCACTCAAATTTTTTAATATTTTAAGTAATTTTTTTTTAACTATACACATAAAAAAATATAATTTTTGTAAAAAAAATTTTAAAAAATTCAATAAATATTAAAAATACAAAAAAATAAAAATTCAGCATATTTTTCATATTGTATGTATTTATTAATTTTTAAAATATTTTTTTTATAAATATTTTACTTTTTAAATACATTTAAGTAAGGTGCGTGTAAAAAAAATTGTTTAAAATTTTAAAAATATTCACTAAAATAAAAAAAAATGAAAAATAAAAAACTTAGGCCTTGTTTGGCAAGAGGCTATTTTAGCCAATTAACCAAAAAATTACTAAATTAACCAAAAAACCAACAACTCATACTAAAAAGTTAAAGATTCTCTTTTCTCTCTACTTTTTGCACATCTTTTCGTAATTAGCCAAAAAGTCATCCCAAACATAGAAGTTTTTTTTACCTACCTTTTTAGCCAAATAGCCAAAAAGTTACTAAATTAGCCTGTTCCCAAACGATGCCTTAATTTCTAAAAAAATTGAAACTAAAATGGGGGTGGGTGTTTTGTCGGGTCGGGCTTTTGCAATCAGGATTTTGACATGGGATTGGAGATGAGCTGGGCTTAGCTTGACTCATCATCAGGCCCGATTTGACCATTCCAAAACCCGCTCTAAAAGGAGTTTCAAAACCCATTTGGCCCACAAGATCTGGGCCCAGCCCGACTCATCGTCAGGCCCTAGAAGGATTTCAATACTTAGCCGGCCCACACAGCACCACATGTGTGAAACTTCCCACACACCAAACACCATCAAATCTTCCGGAAAACCGAAAGAACACCGGGAAAAACTTCAAAAGCATAACAAGGGCTCCATATTTTAGCAAACTTGGGAGTCCCTGCAAATTCAATAGCATATCATCAAGTACAATCCACAAAAACTGCAGATCGGACATAACAGATTTAATCATGTTGAGTCTCCGCAAATTCCATAGAGAGCATATATATCATCAAACACAAGCCAGAAAAACAAACAGATTTAATCATGTTTCAGCAAACTTGGGAGTCTAGAGCATATATATATATATATAAAAGCGCGCACACCCAGAAGGAGATTGGATTGAAAATCTTCAAAAACACTGAAAGAATGTGAATTAAAAATGAAAGGTGGGGTTGTTATTGAAGATGGATTCATATATGAAGAAGAAACCCATCTCACCGTTTTCAAAGCCTCTCTTTTCTTCTCGAGTTGACTTTCGAGTCGACTCGTACAGACCCGACACTAGCGAGCAGAAAAACAAACAGATTTAAATAATACAAATTTCTATCAAATAAAAACCTAATTTTGGAGGTCAGACAGCAGATTAAACTCAAATCTGAAATGTTTCTGAGAGATTAAAGAGAAAGAGACTATATATATATATATATAGAGAGAGAGAGAGAGGGGAAGAGCGAGAATCATCACCATCATATGCAGATCTGAGATGCTTCGGCGAGATTAGTTAGAGAAAAGCCATATTCAACACAATCGCAAGCGGCGGCCGAAGAGGGCTGAGATCCTGACGAGTGCCATCGGTAAGAGAGGGAAGGAGCGAGAATCATCAATATCATACGTAGATCTGAGATGTTTCGGAGAGAGAAAAGCCAGACTCAACACAATCGCCAGCGGCGGCAGAAGACGGATGAGATCGGCGGTGTTTCTGACAAGTGCCATCGGAAACCGGCGGTGGTGAGCTTGCTGCAGCGAAGGTACTTTCGCCATCGCATCAAAACAAAATTAAAGAGCATGGAAAAGATGGGTCTAGGTCTGTTCGCAGTGTATATCTATATCTATATACAAAGCGAAATTATTCATTGCTGTGTGCCCACACGAATAATAATTTGCATTTCAGGGGCTTATGACAAAATAATTTTTCGGGATCTTTTTAAATATTTATAAAAAAAATAAAATTATTGTGTTTAATTTAGAATTTTTAAAAATAATTATCTAAGTTTACAATTCGTATTTTTTTTTATATTTTTTTGTATTTGGTAACTTTAAAAAAAAACACAAATATTATAGTTTTTAAGTATATCTAAATTAGATGTATCTACAAAATAAATAAGTAAAAATTATGTAAAATATTTTTTTTGAAAATACTATAAAACACATAATTGGGCCACAAAGAGAAAAAAAATAGACCACACAAAATTAAGCTAACAACTAATACATATACATATATTTTATTTTTTGGTTTGAGGCCGTAGGTAATCTCATGATTACTGGCCGGTTACGTCCTTAACCCACGGGGGCGGGTTCGGGTCGTGACATTATCAAATGGGCCAAATAGATTTTTTGAGGCCCCTTTAAAATAGCTTAAATTAATTAAACAAAATTGAATCATTTTAAGTTTTTAATATAGTGCAAGACTAATAAATTTGGGGCTTTTTTTTTTTGCCTAATTTTGGAGGTCCTAAGCACAGGCCTCACCAGCCTTAGCCCAGGGCCGGCCCTGATAATTTGCCATGTGTCGCATTGTGCCGAGAGCTTTTATTTGCACACACCATTTACCTCTTTACACACACTTAATGAATTTTTTTTAATTACATTTTTGTCCTAAAATAAAACTACCAAAATACCCCATCTCTATCTCTCTAGTGACCACTCTTCGTCTTCCCTCTGAACCATCATCGTCTTCTTCTTCTCATCTGTTGCAGTTTCACTCTATCTCTCATCAATGGTGGGCTTTGAAGTCAGAGCAGTCCTAGCCGACTGGACCCACAACTACAACCCTACCCGCAACTCCACCAACTCCCGTAACTCCACCCACCCCCGTAACTCCACCTACCCCTCCGACTCCATCTTCGATTTCACTAGTGACAATTCCTTCGACGGCGCCGCCGCCGACGACGACGACGACGACGCCACATCCTGCCTCATCGACGGCAAGTCACCTTCTCGCCTTCGCTTCGGCCCCAAATGGCGATTCCAGCAGCAGTGCAGCCACCTCCCCCAGCGCCGCAACAAAGAGATGGAGGCCAAGAAGCGCGAGGTCGAGAAGGAAGTGCCCGCCGCAACCGCTGTCTCTCTCTCTGAACACCATTGATGAAAGATAGGATTTGATCGTTGCTTGCTGGTGTGAAGAAGGTGTGTGGATGGGAGTGTGTGTATGGGATATAACTGGAACAAAATTGTGTGTGATGAGTAAAATTTTTTTTTTTTTTTTTTTTTTTTTTTTGGTGTGTGAATTAAGAAAGATGTGTAAAAAGAGGAATTTGTGTGTGTAAATAGAACCTCCCCATTGTGCCACCTATGACCACATATAAAATGTCTGTTTTGCCCCTGGTTTAAATGTCACTTTCTATGTTTTGTGCCTTCTAGGAACACATATATGAAACGTCTGTTTTGCCCCTTAGGATATATATAAAGCATGAATGTATAATGAATAGTGTTTTCTACTTTCGATGAATAGTATCCTCTCATGTGTTGAAATATCTGTTTTGCCCCTTGGTCAATGTCTATACAATATATATAAAGCATCAATGTATAGTGAATAGTATTTTCAGAAAATTCTATTTCCACACGCTCGGTTACCTTAGTGCAGACACTTAATGAAAGTGGGTTGTTCTATAATGTTATTAAGAAACATTGCACCGAAAGATGGACTATGTAATGGTATAAGATTGATGGTTTCAAGGTGCGACACTCACATAATTGAAGCTTGAATCTTAACTGAAGAGAAGTTTGGCAATTTGACATTTATACCAAGGATATCATTGACTCCGTCTTCTTCAGAAATGCCTTTCTGAATGACAAGACGTCAATTTCCAGTTCGATTGGCATACGCCTTGACCATTAATAAATCTCAAGGACAATCTGTGAAATTTGTTGGGGTTGATTTGCGTACACCTATGTTTTAGTCATGGGCAACTATACGTGGCATTATCCAGATGCACGTCTTTCGATCGTATCAATATCCTCCTTCCCAAGGATGAGTCGGATTCCACTACAAATATTGTTTACCCTGAAATTTTGTTATAATGATATGTTCGAAAATTGATGAGGTGTTCGTAAGAATTGTGGAAAAGAATAAATTTGAAGACCTTGTCAAACACATATTTTTGTAAAGTATACACATTTTGTAAAGTAGACGATAACTATGACCTACTTTTTGTAAAGCTTTCCACCAATGTGGACTTTGTTGCATTTCTAATATTTTTGTAAAGCCTTTTATTCCCCAATATTTTTGCATTTCCAGTATAGCTAAATTTGGCTTAAGTGTATTTAATATAATGTTTGTTTGGATTATGTAGTGGCAAATCTTATTTTATTTTTTTACCTCCAGTTATTTTAATGGCTTTATTTTTGTCTAAAGATGCATACGTTAATTTGGGACATCTCTGTATGGGTGTTTTTAGGTGTGTTTGTATTTTGTTTTCATGCATAATTATTGATTTCTCATCTAGAACATGTTTCTTTCCTATAACAGGTTTCATGCTCCTTTGTACCAATTAAACATATCTAAGGTCAGCTATTTCTCATGCTTCTTTTGAAAATTTAGTATTGTTTGATATTATTTTGCTTTTGAAACTCCATACCTTATGCTCCTTTGTACCAATTAAACGTATCTAAGGTCAGCTACTTCTCATGCTTCTTTTGAAAATTTAGTATTGTTTGATATTATTTTGCTTTTGAAACTCCATACCTTTTGTTTTCCTTTTGTACTTATAAATGCACAATTTATAGATTGTGCTACGGCAAATTTGAGCAATATATTTTTGATACCTATTTATAGTTGGGGCTATTTGATGTTTATTTAAATTGTTTTTTGTTTTTGTTGCAATATATGTTTGTGGCATTTCATTACACCATGTCAACCCATTAAAGGTATCCTTATTCTTTAATAGAGTAATAGGCTTCCATTGAGAATGAAATTGTGTAAGGTTTTTTTTAGTTCATGAAATTTTTTAAGATTTAATATTGTCATTTCTAAGATTTAATAGTCATTTCCTATTGCGTAACATTTGTTTAGGGTGCACTACAATATGGCATATGGTTGCGTGGTCTATTAATTACTTCCATTTTTGAATTTTTTTATAAAAAAAATTTAAAAATTTAACAGGGGAGCTCTGTTTTTGGTTAGTTTACTTTTTTGTTTTGTTTTTTTTTTTTTTGGGGGGGGAAGGGACAAATTTGTTTGGGTTTACTTGCAGTGTTTATGAAAGAGATCTTGCTTTAATTACACCTGAAAGTCATGTGTTCAACCCTTTACTTGATTAGTATATTCAACTGCAACTCTATGTTTTGACATGTGTCTTGGATATTGTTAGATGGATATAGTATGAACTGGAAATTGACGTTTTATTAGGATGTCTTTCTTTTATTTTATCAATCAAAAGAAAACACAACATAATCATAGTATATTGCCTTAGTTGTCCTATTGTTTTTTCTACTTCGGAGTTGATTATTTAAAATTAGAGGAGGTTGATTATTTACTTGGGAGTTTTTTTCTACTTGTGCTCATTTTTTGTCAAGTGCTTCGAAGAAAGTTGTAGCGACTTTAATTTTCTTTAGTCATTATTTATTATTATTATGGTTATTACTATCTTATTTTATTTTTGACTTTATTAATTGTGTGGTCACATGAGAGTTAATGTGATATTTAATAGATTTAATGTTGTAATTATTAATTTGGTGGTTACATGAGATTTAATGTGATATTTAATGATGTAATTATTAATTGGGTGGTTACATAAGGTTTAATGGGATATCTAAGGCATTTAATGTTGTAATTAATAAATTTACTGCATATTGTAGTTTATTAAGCTATTATATATTGAGATTTAGGTTTATACTATAATATTATTAGGTTATATTAGCTCTTAGGTTATTATATATACAATAACATAGAAGTATTCAACTAGGTTTAGGAGATCAAAAGGAAAAGAGAGAGACCAAGTTGTGAGAGAGAGAGAGAGAGAAATCAAAGAAGAAAAGATTAGGATTTTATTTTAGTGGTTCTATTAGTTCTTCAAATAATTCTTTGATCTTCAAAATAATATTGTGAGTACAAAACTCACTTTCCTTGATTTATGTTTAATTCATTGTTTTTATTTATTTTTTATTTGATGTCAGTTCGATTTTGTGTTTATAGAAAGATGATTGATTAATTTTAATTATTTTGTTTAGTTGTGTATGTAAGGTTTAGGGTTTTTAGTTGATTGATTGATTTTGATTATTTTGATTAGTTGTGTATGTCAGATTTAGGATTTTTATATGGATTTATTTTATTATTGTAATCACACTCATGGTTATATGAAATTTAGAATTAATTAGGAACCCATAGATAAATTTCTTATACTCCACCATAATTCTATGGATTGTTGTTTTATTTGAGTGATGGTGAGAAAGAGTGCATAAAAAAAAGTGAGGATTATGAGATTTATTTGAATGACATAGGCTCGGCATTGTTATGTTTATTCTCATGCGTGAGATGTTGTGTATATATATATTGTTGCCTCGTTCTCATGAGTAAACGAGTGCTTTGATTTGCGCGCGTACGTATATGCTAACCATCCGGGGAGTGTGAGTCAAACTCGGAACGATATCCCCGTGCAAGTTTGGCTTCGGAGCGGTATTAGGTATGCGGGAGGCACATGAGATATATGTGTAGGCCGGAAGGGGAGGGTCAAAGCGGTGGAGTTAAGGTACAAAAATTTAATTATGAGTTTATTGATTTGTACATCTTGAAAAATAGTAATCGACCTCAATAAATTATGAAATTTGAGCAGAGGCATGTATACGTGATTTTGAACAACTTTTGTGTTGTAACTTTTTATTAAAAAGATCGATTAGAACTTATAATCGGATGACCTTGGTTATTGTTGGTTTGATTCATTTTGGTAATGCAGATTTTATAGGCTGTTTTAACCTACGAAACGAGCTCATTTTTATTAGTTTTATGCAAACTGAAGTAAAACATTATTCTGCACACTTTTCATGTTTTGAACTTTTTCGAAAAGAATCATCTTAGGCCAGTTTTTGTTCGTTTTCAATTTCAGATTTTTCGGTTGAATTCTGTCTAGGTTTTTCTATCAAGTTTTTCTCTCAACCTATTTAGTTTCTGTTAAATCCGTTTGCGTTGTCTTTTAGGAAATTTGATTTTGTACAGCTTTCGTTCTTTGAGTTTTGGTCAATTCAAATTATTTAAGCAGAAAATGGTGCATTTTTATACTTATTCAACGAGTTACATATGATTAAATTATACAAACTTTATTTTTTTTGCAGGATGGTGGGTCTTACTAACTTTTTATTTCTATTTTGTCTATTTTATAATCAATTTATATTTCGTTGTGTACAGACAAGAAATTAAATGCCACCGTATCTCGAAAAACTACGCATTCGTCTCGGTACGGTTAGAACTACTTGTCTTGTTTCGTAACAAGAAATAATGTACTTTTTGTTTGTGTCTGGTGGACACGTGGGTGTCAATTCTTGTACTCATACCAATATACCTGTATACTGACCCGTTTTGTCTCTTGACAACTCGGGTGCGTTCTATTTGAGCGCAGGTGAGCTTCCTTTGCAGGATTAGTAGAGGTTTTGGTGGTGACAATAAATAACTGTGATCGTAGGACATGTCGTTTGGAGTTTTTTTATTTTTCTTGAGCTTAGGGTTGACACTAATTTATGTCTTTATTATTTTCTTTTAATGACTTTAGTATTGGAATAATTTAGCATGGTTTGTAACCGTACTTTATTTAAGTTGTTTTGACTATTTATTGTTACCTTGATGTTGAGGTATTGGTTAGTTATGAATTTATGGTGGATGGTTTGGTTAGCGTGTAGTTTTTTGTTTCACCCCTAGGATTTGGATGATGAATATTGATTATGGTTTAGCCCTAATTTGATATTTAATTGTCTGAATTTTGGGGCGTGACAATTTGGTATCAAAACTCTAGGTTACCCTAGACTTGTGAGAGTTTAGGTGATCCTCGGATTGTGGAAACATGGGTTAGCTAGTTTATTTTGGTGGTTGAGTTTATTCTAAGCAGTTATGAATGAATTCTTTTTGGTGTGTTTAACTTGAACGTGATGGCTGGAAGGTATCTTTAATTTTTTTTTTCAAGAATCCATTAGAGTACTTTTTGATCATATCTTGGCAGTTTGTAGAAAGAGAACATATTGTAGCTACCTCATTGTCTAGACCTATTCATGTTGAGACCCCTTTAGGAGGGGCAGTTACTCTTTATGAGATGTGTAAAGATTTTGAGATTGATTTTGCAGGTATAGTCTTGTATGCGAACCTAATTGTGCTAGGGTTTGAGGGGTTACAATTATTTTGGGTATGGATTGGTTGCGAAGTGCCTTGTGACTCTAGATTGTGCTGGAAGGACTGTAAATATAGATATTCTCGATATGTCACGACTTACCCACACTTCTAGTAATGGAGAAAAGTCGGTAATGATGAGTTTTCTGTGCTCGGTAAAAATCCCTAAGCAGGATATTAGTAAGGTAGATGTAGTACGTGAGTTTGAGGATGTATTTCAAGAGATACCTAGACCTCCACCTCGACAGGTAGTAGAATTTCGTAGTGACTTAATGCCAGGAACTACACCAATTTCTAAGGCGGCATACAGAACGGCGCCTAAAGAGCTTGTGGAGATGAAGAAGCAGTTGGAAGAGATGCTTTAGAAAGGGTTCATTCATTCAAGTAACTCCCCGTGGGGAGCACCTGCAATCTTTGTCTCCAAGAAAGATGGCACTCTCCGTATGTGAATAGATTACAAAGAGCTGAACAAGGTGACTATCAAGAACAAGTATCCACTACCTAGAATCAAGGTTTTCAAAGGCGTATTCGAGGCGCGACTTGAGGCGAGACGTACGGAAAACGCACAGATGCGTTCTGTTTGGGGTGAGACCCCAGCTATGCGTACGCGTCAAGATCAGAGGCGTAAGCATTTGTCGCGCTTCATGCGCTTTTCACGCTTTCAATAGCGAGGCGGAAGCCTTTGAAGAGTTCAATTTCAAAATTCAAAAAAGAGAAGATAGAGTAGTTGATGGAAAATTGCTATAAATTGACTTCGATTCAAACAGAAATTGCTCAAGAATAAGTTATAAATACCATGTAAGTCGATCTTCAAATCAGAGTCCAACAACTTCAAATCAGTCGCCTAATCTTCTTCAACGCACTAGGGTTTTCAAGGTACGCAGTCTCTCTCTCTCTTTCTGTCGAGTTGAGTCGACTCTGTCTCTGTGTCTCTCTCTCTCGTTCTGTTCTCTACATCGTCTCTGCATCGTCTCTCTCGATCTGCTTTCTACATCGTCTATCTCGTTCTGTCACTGTGATGTATATATATTATATAATATATGTATCTTTGTTTCGTGCAGTATATATGTTATATAATATAGCTACAGTGTAGTATAGTGGTCTATCTATCTCTATCCGACTGTGATGGATATATATTATATAATATATATATATATCTTTGTTTCATGCGTACAGCAGTGGACTAACATGTTATTATATAATATATTATATCTTTACAATAGATTACCATATCATGCTTAATATTATTATTTTAATATTTCTCCTTCTTTTATTTAAAATTATTATTATTATTATTATTTTTTGATAGACTATAATTTATTATTATTAATATTAATATTTTTTTTTTCTTTTTGCCATCCCACCTAACCAGTATCTTTTTTTTTTAATTTTTTTTTGTTTATTTTTGTATAGTGCTACAGTTGATAAGTTTGTGGGGAAAAAAAAATGACTGAACCCAAAGACCAAAGAAAAGATTTTGTCTGGAAGTATGTAAAAGAAGTTGATGGGGAAAAGTATTTTAGATGTAAATTTTGTGATCAAACTTGTAGTGGTACTGTAAGTCGATTTAAAAATCATCTAGCCGGCACGCATAAAGGCATTAAACCGTGTTCAAAAGTTCCTGAAGACGTAAAGTTGGAATGCCAACACGCATTAAAAAATTTCTTTGAGCAAAAAAGTGCCCGTAATGAGATGCTATATGAAATTAGGATGGGTGTTGGAGCAAAGGGCGAGAGTGGTGCTTCTCAATCTATTGAAGGCGATACTAGTGGTATGACACAAGCACCAAAACCGAGGGGTCCAATGGATAAATTTTCTAGTTCTCAAGCACGACAATCTACATTGAACTCCAAATGGAAACAAGAAGAAAGAAAATATGTGTGTTGAAAGATTGGGCGTTTTATATATTGTAAAGCTCTTCCATTTAATTTGGTGAATGATCCGTATTGAGTAGCTGCAGTTGATGGAATTGCAAATTATGGACCTGGTTTCAAACCCCCTTCTATGCATGAATTGAGGACTTGGATTCTTAAAGCAGAAGTAAAGGATATAAATGTCATGATGGAGGAACATAAGAAAGCATGGAAACAATATGGATGCTTAATTATGTCTGATGGCTGGACAGATGGAAAAAGTAGAGTTCTTATTAATTTTCTTGTGAATAGCCCTGCTGGAACTTGGTTTTTAAAATCAATTGATGCATCTGATACTATAACAAAATGGGGAGTTGATGTATAACTATCTTGATAGTGTCGTAGATGAAATTGGAGAAGATAATGTTGTTCAAGTTATTACTAATAATGCTTCAAACTATGTCAATGCCGGGTCGAGACTTATGGAGAAGAGGAAGAAGTTGTATTGGACTCCATGTGCTGCGCATTGTATTGATTTAATGTTGGAGGACATTGGAAAATTGAAAGTCTATGACCAAACTCTCTCGTTATCTAGGCAAGTGGTCAAGTTTATATATGGACATTGTTGGGTTCTTTCAATGATGAGATCATTTACAAAGAACAGTGAACTACTCCGTCCAGCAGTAACACGGTTTGCCACTGCTTATCTTACTCTCCAAAGTCTTTACAAACAAAAGCAACCACTCCAAGCTATGTTTTCTTCAGAAAAGTGGGCTTCTAGTAGTTGGGCAAGAAAGGTTGAAGGGGTAAAGGCTCGTGCAACTGTGTTGTTTGATCCAAAATTTTGGCCTAATGTTGCTTTTTGTATCAAAAGCACAATACCTTTGGTTAGTGTTTTGCGAGAAGTTGATTAAGAGGAAAGGCTTGCTATGGGTAACATTTATGAGTTGATGGATTTGGCTAAAGAAAAGATTGCTTTCAATTGTGACATGTCAAATTCAAAGTCATGAGAAATAATGTGAATTTCTTGGACAAAATGAAGAATGAATTGTATGAAAGGGGACGCTCACTTAAAAATTCCATAAAATTTGAGATAATTCAAGGAATTAAAAACATTTCGAAATAATTTGGCAATTGTGCAGACTGGTTTCCGCAACAGAGAGAGAGAAGAAACTTCATGAACGAACCCTGGTGCACTATTGGGTGAAGGCCTGCACAAGGAACAGATGGTTAGGCTCCCTGACCAGGGTTTGGTCGGAAACCCCTTCGATGGTCGATTCAGTACCGGAGTTTGGTAAAGAGCAAGTAGAGAAGACGAGTGTGTATCAGGGCTGGCCCTGAGTTTTCAGGGGCTTAAGGCGAAATAATTTTTCGAGACATTTTTAGATATTTAAAAAATAAATAAATAAAAATAAAAATCACTCTGTTTGGTTTAGAGTTTTCAAAAATAATTGTCTGAGTTTGTCATTCATATTTTTTTTTGTATTTGGTAACGTTTTTTAAAATATATATATTATAGTTTTTAAACGTATCTAAATTAGATGTATCTACAAAATAAATAAATAAAAATTGTGTAAAATATTTTTAAAAAAAATACTAAAAAACACATAATTGGGCCATAAAGAGAGAAAAAAAAAATAGGCCACACAAAATTAGGTTAACGACTAATACATATACATATATTTTATATTTTATTTTTTAATTGAGCCTTTTATCAAATGGGCCAAATAGATTTTTTGAGGCCCCTTTAAAATAGCTTAAATTAATTAAACAAAATTGAATCATTTTAAGTTTTTAATATAGTGCAAGACTAATAAATTTTGGGCTTTTTTTTTTTTTGCCTAATTTTGGAGGTCCTAGGCACAGGCCTCACCAGCCTTAGCCCAGGGCCGGCCCTGATAATTTGCCATGTATCGCATTGTGCCAAGAGCTTTTATTTGCACACATCATTTACCCTCTTTATACACACTTAATGAATTTTTTTTAATTACATTTTTGTCCTAAAATAAAACTACCAAAATACCCTCTCTCTCTATCTCTCCAGTGACCACTCTTCGTCTTCCCTCTGAACCATCGTCGTCTTCTTCCTCTCATCTGTTGCAGTCTCACTCTATCTCTCATCAATGGTGGGCTTTGAAGTCAGAGCAGTCCTAGCCGACTGGACCCGCAACTACAACCCTACCCGCAACTCCACCAACCCCCGTAACTCCACCCACCCCTCCGACTCCATCTTCAATTTCACCAGTGACAATTCCTTCGGCAGCACCGCCACTGCCGACGACGACGACGCCACATTCTGCCTCGTCGACGGCAAGTTACCTTCTCGCCTTCGCTTCGGCCCCAAATGGCGATTCCAACAGCAGCGCAACCACCTCCCCCAGCGCCGCAACAAAGAGATGGAGGCCAAGAAGCGCGAGGTCGATAAGGAAGTGCCCGCCGCAACCGCTCTCTCTCTCTCTGAACACCATTGATGAGAGATAGGATTTGATCGTTGCTTGCTGGTGTGAAAGAATGTGTGTGGATGGGAGTGTGTGTATGGGATATAGCTGGAACAAAATTGTGTGATGAGTAAACATTTTTTTTTTTTTGGTGTGTGAATTAAAAAGGATGTGTAAAAAGAGGAATTTGTGTGTGTAAATAGAACCTCCCCATTGTGCCACCTATGACCACATATAAAATGTCTGTTTTGCCCCTAGTTTAAATGTCACTTTCTATGTTTTGTGCCTCCTAGGAACACATATATGAAACGTCTGTTTTGCCCCTTAGGATATATATAAAGCATGAATGTATAATGAATAGTGTTTTCTACTTTCGATGAATAGTATCCTCTCATGTGTTGAAATATCTGTTTTGCCCCTTGGTCAATGTCTATACAATATATATAAAGCATCAATGTATAGTGAATAGTATTTTCAGAAAATTCTATTTCCACACGCTCGGTTACCTTAGTGCAGACACTTAATGAAAGTGGGTTGTTCTATAATGTTATTAAGAAACATTGCACCGAAAGATGGACTATGTAATGGTACAAGATTGATGGTTTCAAGGTGCGACACTCACATAATTGAAGCTCGAATCTTAACTGGAGAGAAGTTTGGCAATTTGACATTTATACCAAGGATATCATTGACTCCGTCTTCTTTAGAAATGCTTTTCTGAATGACAAGACGTCAATTTCTAGTTCGATTGGCATACGCCTTGACCATTAATAAATCTCAAGGACAATCTGTGAGATTTGTTGGGGTTGATTTGCGTACACCTGTTTTTAGTCATGGGCAACTATACGTGGCATTATCCAGATGCACGTCTTTCGATCGTATCAATATCCTCCTTCCCAAGGATGAGCCGGATTCCATTACAAATATTGTTTATCCTAAAATTTTGTTATAATGATATGTTCGAAAATTGATGAGGTGTTCGTAAGAATTGTGGGAAAGAATAAATTTGAAGACCTTGTCAAACACATATTTTTGTAAAGTATACACATTTTGTAAAGTAGACGATAACTATGACCTACTTTTGTAAAGCTTTCCACCGATATGGACTTTGTTGCATTTCTAATATTTTGTAAAGCCTTTTATTCCCCAATATTTTTGCATTTCCAGTATAGCTAAATTTGGCTTAAGTGTATTTAATATAATGTTTGTTTGGATTATGTAGTGGCAAATCTTATTTTATTTTTTTACCTCCAGTTATTTTAATGGCTTTATTTTTGTCTAAAGATGCATACGTTAATTTGGGACATCTCTGTATGGGTGTTTTTAGGTGTGTTTGTATTTTGTTTTCATGCATAATTATTGTCTAGAACATGTTTCTTTCCTATAACAGGTTTCATGCTCCTTTGTACCAATTAAACGTATCTAAGGTCAGCTACTTCTCATGCTTCTTTTGAAAATTTAGTATTGTTTGATATTATTTTGCTTTTGAAACTCCATACCTTTTGTTTTCCTTTTGTACTTATAAATGCACAATTTATAGATTGTGCTACGGCAAATTTGAGCAATATATTTTTGATACCTATTTATAGTTGGGGCTATTTGATGTTTATTTAAATTGTTTTTTGTTTTTGTTGCAATATATGTTTGTGGCATTTCATTACACCATGTCAACCCATTAAAGGTATCCTTATTCTTTAATAGAGTAATAGGCTTCCATTGAGAATGAAATTGTGTAAGGTTTTTTTTAGTTCATGAAATTTTTTAAGATTTAATATTGTCATTTCTAAGATTTAATAGTCATTTCCTATTGCGTAACATTTGTTTAGGGTGCACTGCAATATGGCATATGGTTGCTTGGTCTATTAATTACTTCCATTTTTGAATTTTTTTTAAAAAAAATTTAAAAGTTTAACAGGGGAGCTCTGTTTTTTATTAGTTTACTTTTTTGTTTTGTTTTTTTTTTGGGGGGGACAAATTTGTTTGGGTTTACTTGCAGTGTTTATGAAAGAGATCTTGCTTTAATTACACCTAAAAGTCATGTGTTCAACCCTTTACTTGATTGGTATATTCAACTGCAACTCTATGTTTTGACATGTGTCTTGGATATTGTTAAATGGATATAGTATGAACTGGAAATTGACGTTTTATTAGGATGTCTTTCTTTTATTTTATCAATCAAAAGAAAACACAACATAATCATAGTATATTGCCTTAGTTGTCCTATTGTTTTTTCTACTTGGGAGTTGATTATTTAAAAAATATGGTTTAGTTGGCAAGGGAAAACATGCTAAGATCAGGGGAGCGAAACTATGTTAAGATTATAGGAGGAAAACATGTTAAGATCAGAGGAGCTGAACTATGTTAAAACTATATAAGAAAAAAATGTTAAGATCATTTTCATTTCAGGTATTGATACTAGCAACAGTTGATGGCTATTTGATGACTTTAAATAAGCAACAATTGTAGTTGATGTAAAGTTGGGATGTAATTGAGGAAAGTTGTCTATAGTTGATGTAATTGATGAAAGTTGCCTATAGTTGATGTAAATCATTTCAAGTATTGAACTATGTTAAATCTTTTTCTATTCTAAAGTTGTCTATAGTTGATGTAATTGATGATTTTCACATTAATTTGACACACTAGATTAGTTGTAAGAATTATCTCACCGTTTATAATTGAAGCTCGAATCTTAATTGGAGAGAAGTTTGGCAATTTGGCATTTATACCAAGGATATCATTGACTCCGTCTTCTTCAGAAATGCCTTTCTGAATGACAAGACGTCAATTTCCAGTTCGATTGGCATACGCCTTGACCATTACTAAATCTCAAGGACAATCGGTGAAATTTGTTGGGGTTGATTTGCGTACACCTGCTTTAAGTCATGGGCAACTATACGTGCCATTATCCAGATGCACATCTTTTGATCGTATTAGTATCCTCCTCCCCAAGGATGAGCCAAATTCCACTACAAATATTGTTTACCCTGAAGTTTTGTTATAGTGATATGTTCGGAAATTGATGAGGCGTTCGTAAGAATTGTGGGAAAGAACAAATTTGAAGACATTGTCAAACACATATTTTTGTAAAGTATACACATTTTGTAAAACAGACGATAGCTATGATCCCCTTTTGTAAAGCTTTCCACCGATGTGGACTTTGTTGCATTTCTAATATTTTTGTAAAGCCTTTTATTTCTCAATATTTTTGCATTTCTGTAGACAGCTCATTTTTGACCGACCTTAAGACTCAGACGTCACCAACTGAGCGCTCAGTGATGTTGCATATTGTGCTCGTTCTGAGGTTGCGGAGTCTTGGCTGCGAGCCTTGCCTCCGGACTTCGGAGCTCTTT